AAATTTCCGTTAACCCAGATAGATGCGATTTTTCGCCATTTTCTCCAACACTAAACCAATCACAACCGGCCCAATGACCATTTTTTAAATTTCTATCCTTATTGTTTGCTTTCTGAGAAATATACGTCGTCTATCTTACCTACCACGACTGGTTGAACGATGTATATTTTAATATTCAGCGTCCACAGCCTTAGAACAGTCTAACAACGCGTATAAAAAATACTGAAACTTTAGACGCGTGCAGTTCCGAAACTACTAGTGTTTTGGTAATTATTAGCCATTGTTAGCAGCGGTAAACCTTCCCCTTTAAAATGGTTTTTTGTTTTTGTCGATCGGACTTTCCGTTCTCGAGATATCGTAATTTATGTGAGGAGGTAATTTTTTAATTTCCACTATCTCTGTCTCCGTCTGACGCGTCGCGCTGGACCTCCTTGTCGCGCGTGAGTCGAGACAGTCACGTGACTAGGAAGTAGTAGTATTTCCAAGAATTTACTACGCACTATTTACGCGCGCGTTATCAATGAAATCACGCGACCGCAACAGAATGTAAACAAACTTCGGAGCCTCGTATCTCCGTAACTAGCCACCGCATCGACTTGAAACTAAAATCCTCATATCTCCGGAACTAATTACGCTATCGACTGGTACAAACGCTCATTTTAAAGGGGTTTTCATCCCCTATCGGATGGCACTATCATCTGTTATTTTTAATGCTGTCTTCTATGTTTATTTTGTCATTTACTTTGACTCTATATACCTAAAGAAGTTTCATGTAATTATTTAGTAGAATTTAATATGAGAAGAGAACAGCGATATATTTACTGAATTATTTGGAAGGTGATCGGCCATAACTGGGTTAAAACGAGGGTATTTTTCGAGGAGCAGCGATTAATTGTCCTTATCTTCATGGAGTTGCTTCTCACGGATGCCAGGGGTAATTTCTCTACTTGTTGAACTAACTCCTGTCTCCCACGCGTTCACCGCCATCCCAAGATTGTGCTCGGATGGGGACGTGACAATAATTAATTCCCCGATGGAAATTGCGCGGTCTTCTTACCTTAACGAACCGGAGATCAGCTATTATCAAAGATCGCGTTACATCGTTCGTCTTTTCTCCTCGTTCTTCCCCTCGCGGTGGACATTCAGTTCGTGTTACGTTTTACGAGTTTAAAAGACATTTGTGCCATTTACAGAGAACGTTTTCGAGAACTAAATGTTGATGTGAATTGTCAAGTCGAGGGAGAGAATATTGCTACAAGTTCTAGTGTAAAATTCGGCACGAAGTTATACGAGATACCTAATAGAATGGGTGGAAAAGTTCGAGGGTGAAAACTGATCTGTATTCGATTCGCATTTGTCGGTGACCGCGGGCGCACCACGAACCATTCCGGAGGAGTAATTCCCACGAATTAAAGGGTTACCACCCCCAACTTGTTGAATTAATACTTTCCCCATTTTTCTGGCCACTCGTCCACAAAGGAACCCCTTGTAGAACACGTACATCGAATACAGATTATTAATACTACAATTCTATTCCATTTAAACACTTGGGAAGCCTAGTCAAATATATTTGTGCTTATTATGTTATTTTCTCGTATTTTATATCACTTTGAATTAAATCGTTTTGACTTTTAAAAAAACACTGATACGTATCGGAACAGAACGTATTCGGTATTAATTTCCGACACCGATACTTTCGCAAACGAATAAAATCGATGACAACAATATAGCACACACGATATTTTCAAATGAAATTTATTTTTAACTGAATTTACTCAATTTATACAAGCCTGGGCAATATTTTACAGAACATAAAAGTTTTTACCGGGGGAAAAATAAAGATTTATATTAATAACAACATTGAAAATCTGAAAATTATGCTTGTCAAAACGATGGCACGTATTTTGAAAAATTTGCCTTTGTTATGCGAATATAGAGTATTGTTTTTTATTTAATATTTTATAGTTCTTCGTTATATCGAAAGACATTTATTTTCTGTGTTATTTATGTTGCGAATAATAATATCGATATTTACTCGGTGTCTTACGGAATTGATATCGATCGGTATTAATTTCAGAGGCCTCGGTCTCGAAACTTGATATCAAATACTCGAAATTTCGAGACCTTTCCACCAGATTGATATCAAATTCCTTGAATATCATCGATACATATAGCACCGGATCCTTTGCTAAGAATTATTATACGTAAAACTTATTTGCACCGGAAGCAATAGATATAAATTTTTGGTGACAAATTCAACGTTTCAAATTTCTGAACAGTTCCTCTTCACAAGAGAGTACACTACAATCAAACTTTTATAATTCGAACCTCTCAGATCGAAAGCCTCTATGACTCAAAGTTTTATTAATTCCCCTCTGAAAATTCTCGATAACTCAAAAAAATAAACGGAAATTTACTCGACGTTGCACACTAGAGCCACTTGGCCTCTACAACTCGAAGTTGAATAAATTGACCTCAGTAACTCGATTAACTTCGAAATTTCCCCTTTCAACCACCAAATGGCTGCCATTAAGGTCTCTCTCGTTGCTCAGTTTGACGTAAAGACCTTCCCTATGGACGAATATTTAGAACGAACATTAAAATTTAGAGCAGGTTCGAGACGAGACGCCTATCGCGAAAGAAGCAGATAGAAAAGTGGGATTTTTTAAAAACTTTGCTTGAACCAAACGATCATTAAATTTAGACTTTGCGTACCACAATGGCTGCTAACAAGATCTTTCTCTCCACTGAGTTTAATTTACATACGCCTAGGGCCTAAATCTGCTAAGCTATTTTACTATTAACGAGTCCTATTAGCAGATCCAGGTCGAAACGCTCTAATTGCACGTTCTGACTACCAAGAATGCCACACACGCTACATAAGGTCTGAAACAAACGATCACGTTTATATTTTGGTATCGTTCACTCGAGAACCGGAACTGGCGGCGAGAGGCGATAGTGTTTCCGTATTTTTTTTCGACGCAAAGACTAAAACGGGCCTGCATGACAAGCAAAACTCTAGCTCGCGTTGTTCCGATCAAACGACGCCGCGCGATTTAATTGCGCTCGACGGACTCCTATGTTTTCGAGGGGAAAACCAACGAGTCTCGTTACACAGTTATTGACAACGCGTTGATGCCGGGGACGAGGACTGTCGGTTGACATAAACTAGACGCGAAAGTTCCACCGCACGAAAAACAATTTGACGCTGGTTGCTCGTGTCGCGGCCGAGACAAACGCAACAAAAGCCACGAGGCGCGAGATCGCGGCCCACGGTTCCGTAATAACGTATTTTAACGTAAATTTAATATTTATTTGCGTTACGCGGCGGCAACAAACTGAAAATGAAATTGTAAAGCAACTCAACGCGCGCATTTCACGTTCCAAGTTAATTTACGTACGAATCGTCATCCATAGGCTCGAATCGAGTTGCACCACCCTGTATGCGATCTCAAGTTTCAAGCAGAATGTCTGGACAAAGTTACTTCGACCTTATAATTATTCACACCAGTGTATCTCCGTTTCTACGTATCTCGGAGTGGTTAACTATGAAGCAGCCTCTGGATAATTTACCTTTGTTGTCTAACTTACAAAGTATTATCTTCCGGTATGCCTCCGTACCTCTATGAACTCGCACACCGAAACTCCCAGATGCACTATGAGCACTCGACAAAGCTTGCTTCCATCCTATCCCCCCCGTTATCAAAATTTCTTGCTTCTCTTATTCGATCGCGTACTACTTGTTGCTCGCAGATATTAGAAACGTGTGTATACACCTTAAACTTAGCTATATTTTCTCTAAATTTGGCTCTTCCACTGCGCGGACAGGAGCAAAGAAACACAAAGACTTTTCTCGACTTTAATCGATCTCAAGATCTGATAAAATATGTATAATTCCTGAAGTTTGTAACTTGTTGGAGTTTTTTTAGAACGATTCGAAGCGATTGGAGTGTTTTCGTGAAGTATGGGGTTTCCAGACAAAACGAAATTGGAGAGTTACGGTCGCAAACAACGCGAACGTTACGACGAGTTATTTCGTTTCGTCGTCTCTCGGTCGGTTTTGTATTCTAATTCTGTCGCCTTTTCGAAACGGACAGGGCCTGTCGACGCGCACCGCAGTTAGTTGAGCTGTCGGAAGATACGTGGAAGCTGTTTCGCGGTAATGTATTTCGCAGTAGTTCGTGGTTACCGTGGAGAAAGTCTGATCGCGCGACAGGACGTATGCATCTCGTTGAAAATCGAGGAGTTGCCGGGATCTGAACATCCTCGTCGGTGAAACTCTCGTTCGAATAAATTTCTAACGCGTTCCCTGCTTTCGAGACTGGCGAGAAGCGGTCGCCAAAATCGTTCGTTTTTAGTCCAGTAGTTTTGGAACAATAATTGCTTGTCAAATGGTCGGTCGTAATCTTTTGGTAGATATTTCATTTTTTCATATTTTACCGTTCATTTTTATTTCAGTTTTCCCCGTATTGTAATTTTTCCAAATGTTTCTATATAAAAGAAAGGTTGTATGGGAAGGTTTGTAATCCTTTTCAAGACATTTGCCCGGTCAGGGCTATCGAGAGATAAATCCAGTACCTCTGTTGTTGGCCTCTCGACTCTTTATCCTGTGTTTTTTCAGTGGTCACTCCACCCCTTGTTTGTTTTAAAGAGAGAAAGCACAAGCCAACAGCACACTGTTCCTACATACCAGACGATCGACCTCACAAAGAAACAAAAAAGCAGACAGATTCCATCAGCGACGAATAAACCCACAAGAATCTAACTATACAGGACAGTCATCTTGTCATTTAGTCCTTTAATTTTAATTAAGTTCTCTAGTCTACCACTTTCCCTACGAATTTTATTTGTTCAAACACCTTTTCTTTAAGTTTACCTGTATCTAGTTGTCCAGATTTCCTCTCTGATCCCTATTCTAGCTGCAATTCTCTGTTCCAAATCGTTCAACCCCACAAATAGATAAATACACCGCGAATACACCGAGATAGGAGCTTCCTTACCTTGGTGTCGTTGTGAATGAGACGCAGCCTGAACTTGGACAGGACGTTCATCTCGTTGACCCTCTCGACAGCCAATCTGGCAGCTTGCAGCTCGCTGGGGCCATCCGGTCTAGGCTCCGCGCCCCTCGTCATCTCGAACAGCCCCAAGATGGTCACGTTCACCTTGTCCGTCGATTTCGTGTTCGTCTCCGTGACAATGTCCTCCTCCTCCTCCTCTTCCACGCGCGATTCGTTCTCCAAATCCTTCTCACCGACGGTGGACGTCAATGTCGGATAAGACGTCGACGAGGACACAGGGGCTCGTTTCTCCTCCGACGGGGATTTCCCGCTGGCTATGCTCGAGGACCGTCTGCCGGAAGACGCGCCGGGCAGCCAGAAATCGTCGGTGTCGTTCGCGTTCTCGTTGGCGTCGATCGTTTCCTGGCGTCCCTCCTCGTCGGCGTCGTCGACTTTCCGATGTCGATGGAGAACGTCTCTGCCCGGGCTCTTGGGCAGATCTGGAGATATCGTAGTAGAGTACGACGACGCGGTGGTCTCCGGGACGTCCATTTTCGGCGGCCCGAAGTGCCTTCTGTCGAACTTCTCCACTTGATGGGCGACGGGCGGCTTGTACGTCACTTTTATGGGGAACTTCTGTGAGCCTTCGAAGCCCGTGAAAGGCTCCTCCTCGTTGCTCGCGTTCGAGGCCCGCGAGCCGCCATTCACTTCCGGCGGATCGACCGGACTCTCCGTCCCATTGTTGTCCTTCTCTCCTGGATTATCCGCGACTCTGTCGGACCTGTTCCTCCGGAGGGTCCTCGAGTTCGAGCGGAGCTGGCATTCTTCGCAATCGAAGACCGATCCTGGCCCGGAGGAGCTCGAGGTGGCCTTTCTGTCCAATTTGTGGACTGTTTTCTTCTTCCTCTTCGCCTCGATCTCGATCTTCGCGTCCTTCTCGCGACGGAACTTGCGCTTCTCGTGGCGTCTGCGTACCTCGTAGTAATTGCTCGCGATCTCGGTCTCCGCCAGGGGAAATCGTAGATCGTTGCTCGATCGGGAACGTTTCAACGGACTGGTTTGCATCCACCGTTGGGGATCCTCGAGCTCCACGGGGGAATGGTTTGTTTCGGCTTCGGATTCGCGACTCTGGGGCTTCTTTTCGCTGCAGGAGAGCGCGCCGTTTACGAGGAGGAGACCGATGATGAGGAGGATCGGGCTGAGGGGAAGATGGAAGGTCCCGGAGGATGAGAATGGCAGGAGGTGACGAGAGAGATCGCGGCGCGGGCGGACGCGCGTCATAATCAGTCGCCGTCGCTGCTTCGACGACTCAAGGCGTCCTCCCGGCTGCTCCTCATCTGAAAACGGACACCCTGTATATTAATTACGGAATAAAATTGCTATAAACACGATCGTAAGGCCGCGGAATGATCCGGTACTCGTTTAGAAAATAATTGGTTGAAACGTCATTTCAAATTTATTATTTATCGTGATCGTTTCGTTTATAAAATATCGTTACGATTCGAAATAAAATGTCCGTAGTCTGGAAACCGGCGCTACGCCGATACTTTCATCCCAGCGCTCTACGTAATGGTAATCCGTTCGAGTTAGGAAACAAAGCGTTCGAGAGTTATGCGATAGAGTAAATATTGAATGAAATACAGCGCCGAGAGGGAAGATACAAACGTCGACGAGCTTCGCGCGAAAACAAACCGAATAAACGGCGGGCGAACCGTGGTCGTTGCGCGCCATTAAACTGTTTTTGGAACTGCATTAACAATTTATGGCTGACCGGGTCCGCCCGCAAACTGAGTTTTTTTTTGCATAAATATTACTTAGCGGAAGTGCTGCTTAATTCGGCTAATGAGCAATTAACGCCGCGGAGACCATAACGCCCTCTCTGGTTACCCTGTCATTTTAGGGGTTGCTTCGCGTTAAAGGAGTTAAAAAATAATCCAATAAATTTTTATTTTGGCTGATCTATGTTTCTCCATCCGAACTCGTGTTATTTAATTTACGAAATGAATTCCTTTCGATGTTGGACGAAGGCCTGTGGGTACCAATGGGTCGTTGTTGTTTATGTTTTGAGTACGGAGAATGCGTGCTCGATCCCATCGCTGGGGAAACTGGTAGCATCTGTCAGCTCGAACGGGAAGGAAACAAATACGCTTTTAGCGAGGCGTATCACGCCTGGTTGTCTCCGTTCCCGTGGACAGAAAATCCGAGCGCGCAATCTGCTTAATGTAACGTTGTAGAAACGGGAGCACGTGGCAAGAATCGTACACAGGGCATGTTAATGAGCTTCGGTGCCCTCTTATTGCGGCGTCGGGAAAACCTCTGACCTTGCTCGAACGAGCTCGTAAACGGCGATGGTGATTAAACAACGAGATTTAGTTTGTTCGCGTTCCGCGCCGTTACGCAACGCCGACAATGACAATACCCCTTCACGTTTTAACGTAATTGACGTCCCAACGCTGGCATGTCAAGCTCATTTCGACCGTTGGGCCAATTTGCATCTTTCCTATCGCGTGCCAGGAGATAGAATCAACGTTATTTTACAACGGTCAAAACTGTTTTTCAGTCGTATCGAGAATCTGTCCGATCCTAACTTAACTCGCGACACGTTGACATCGAGGCCGTGTTCAAATGCCAGTGAAATCTGTAAATTTAATATTATTTACATCGGAAATAATTGCAAATGTAAATTGTGTCGTTTTTAATATCGAAAGAATGAAGATAGATAGTCAGAATTGAGAGAATTGTCAAGCAGTTATTAGACCGTCATATTACGAGCGAACGTGTTAAGAATTGAAAAGGAAACGACGATATCTATTATTTGGTCCCCCTACTTAGTCTAAGTACGAAATGTTGGAGAGATTCCAACATAAATTTCTACGATTTTCTCGTCGTATAAAATAAGTAATAGCACGTCCTACTTAGGCCACTGTACTTCAGTATTAAATATGCTTAACGCGTCAACAATGGCGAGACCGTAGAATAGTAGAAGATTTAATCTTTCTTTTTAAGGCCATAAACGGACAGATGGTATCTTCGTCCGTATTAAGCCTCGTTAATTTTCACGTGACATTTCAATATTTTAAGAGCAATCTAATTTCTCGTCGCATAACTTTTGGGGATTACCTCGTGATCCAATTAAATCAATCGTTCCTTTTATTAATTATGCTTTAATAGTATTATTAAACTCGATTAAAAAATGGAAATACTGGGAACGTTTGATGTATGGTGGTTCGCTGTTCCAAATAAATGTTTCATTTTTAATGCATGCAAATTTCATGTTGATCGAAAAAGTAACTTTTGAGATGTCATACACGCCGTGCCGAAAACTGTTTCGAGAAAAACGGTTTTTGAAATTTTTGACGGACAGCGTTAGAGCACTGTTATACGCAGTGCATATAGAGTAGGCGGGTGAAACTCGTTTTTGCTGAAGGGCCAATTTGCACTTTGTTACCATGTCACGGGTCGCAGTTGTATAATTATTTTACCGCGGTCAAAAATATTTCAAAGGCTATTTTTCAACCCTACGAAGATATGTCATGCATCGTCGAATCCCATGCAATCGCGTAAACGAAACAAGCAAAAAATAGGTTCGTTAAACATTTTTACAATGCCTTATAATATTGTCAATTTTTCGACGGCTGTTGCAATTTTTTTCTCAGTCCCCACGATCGGAAATTAACAAATTGTTCCCTTAATTTACGCAACCGCGATAATTGCGTAATGGTTAAAGTTTCTGCCTGCACGGAAAACGAACTAATTCCGTTCGCAATTGAAATTTCGCCGCGTCATCCGCAACTTTGCGAAACCTGTTCCCGCGCACGTACAGTAAAACGGGATTACATGGGTTTTCCAACTGAAATCTACACCGCGAATTATCTTAGACAAATAGGTGGAAAATTGATGTAGCAACCGCTTAGCTTCGAGTCGAAAGCTCAGATTATTCTCTTCGTTCGCAGTAAGAAAATTTTCATATCAAATTCAAGAGTGCCGTAATTGGTAAAAAATAAAAGAAGAAAAATATTTTTTAATAGGAGGAGTATTTGAGAGACGCCCATTATTATGGTTCTGAAATTGACGTGCCCGTCAGTCGACCCGAAAGATCGAATAAGCGAAAAAATATCGTGAATAATCTGGCTTCACGGGGGGTGGCGTTTAAGCAGGAAATTGGATATTCAGTGACACCTTGCTTCCTCCGCGTCTTTCGCAATATAACGTCGGACGGGCAGACACAACTTAGCCCTTCGTCGATATCCGTAAATCACATTTCTGGATATCGACGGTTTCATTCAGCCGCCAGTCGATCCATTCTGCAGCTCGGTGTCGTCTGATCCCGCCCACCATTTTATTTCGGGCTCCTCGAATAGCGGGAGGGTGGATCCGAACACAGCGCGTGACACTTCCGATAGGCACTCGGTTGACAGAGGAGTGGAGGCATCGGAGTCTCGTGTAAGGGTCGACACCCTGACCTACCACCGTAAATTCTGCTTCCGTATGCAACGTATACAGCATGAAAGGGCCACGGGAGTCTAATCGCAACAGGGCTCTGTCGCGTTTGGATAGCTCACTTAAGCCTCCAGTTTAAACTCAACTCCCTGATTGCATTTCTTATGAAATACTAACCCTTTGGTGGGGCCAAATGTACTCGAGGAAGTCAATATCAATTTTTCAAACTCATTTGTTTCTAATATTCCAATCCACGGTTAAAGAGTAGTAAACACTCGTGACTACAAAGTATGTTTGATTAACACTTTGACTGCCACGTCACCCATACATATATTGGTGACAGAACTTTTAACAGTAGAACTGTAATAATGAATTCTCAAGTTGAAATGTTAAAGAAAATAAATTTTAAAAATTTTAAATATTACGAAAGCAACTACTACGACAACTTTTAAGTTGTGTAGTTTACAATAGCCTAAAATGAAAGTTTTGGTCCCGTAAACAATTTTAGGATTTTAGACTGGTAGTCAACGTGTTAAATGAGAATGTGGATCCATCAGTCCAGTAATTTTTGCTCAGTCGCAGGCCACACGAGGCCTAAGAAAATGTCTGACCCAATACGAGCTGGAATTCGTTCCAAGGACCGGTCATTCTTCTCCCTGCAGACGCTACAATGCATCGCTGCAAGTAGAAATTGTAGGTATTGGTCAGACGGGGTCGGGCAAGTAGTACTGAATTACACGCGGCCCCCCGAGAGTTTTCAAACTCGATTTTCTCGAAAACGTCGTCCCCCATGAAAAAATTACTCCCGCCTTGACTTATTTTCGTGCCATTGGCGTCTCGTGTTTTTATTTACACCGTGAAAAATCGTTTCCGTTAGAGTGTTCTTTACGCGAGAGTTCTAGATTTGTTTCCGACTTTGGGCGTGAAATTTCTATTTGTCGGAATCTCGACGACTAAATCCACAGTACGGTTCCAACAAACATAACGTGTCATTCAGCTCGTTCGCCCGCGCGAATTCTAAAGGGCCCATTTCCAGAATGAGCAGTTAAATTCACTGGTATCGATTGCCCATTCACTTAGCCTAATTTGACCGTAGCAAGTTTCGAAAATCGACAGAGTCTGGTGGGAACAACGTTTAAAAAATAATTAATTTACAAATTTTATATTTTTTCTTATTCTATCGTTCCTGGCTGCAATATACATCTTTTAATTATTTATCGAACGTCTTCGTTGCACATGAACAGAGGCGAGCCGTAACTAAATTCCGTTCTAAATCTAATATCAAGTTGCGAACCTAAATTCGCCACGAAATGGCTGTTATTAACGCAGTTAGCTCGCTGCTAAAAGTTTGACGAAAGAGCTCCAAAGCCAGTCAGAATTTTAAAGTCGGTCAAAAACTAGCCGCCGTTCTAAGCCAAACGCAAATGTTTATTTTTCCAACTTTTTGTTCGAGGTCCACCGGGGAGAAAAAACATGAAACTAATAAATTGATGTATCGGGGGTGTGGTTGGTGCTACAGAAATTTCTGACCAGAGTTTCGTAGTCGTTTTTGCGTCCAGAATATAAATTCTTCCATCGTTAGTTTGTTACTCTTATTAGAAGCTATCTGTAAACTATAGTTTACCGGAAGAACCAGATTCTAAAGGATCGTAGCACGAATTGCTCCATGAATGGATCCAGCGATCGCGATGTTATTTTCTTTGCGTTTCGGGGGATCCTCGATGCACAGATCCGAAAAAAGGAGACGTTTAAAGGTATCGACCATTTACAGTGCGCTTCTTCCTCCGGATTTACACACGAAATAAGTTTCTGGAGGAAACCCGGTCCGCTGATGGATCGTACGGGACGCACGATTGCTTTCACGCATCTGGAAACAGAATTTTCCGTTTCCCTGGAGTATCGGAATAGGGATTACTACTTTCAGATTCATGCGCCTGGTGTATGTGTATCCGATATACGTTTAGGACGCTTCGAGAGTCGAAATTTGCGTTTCCTGAAAGAAATTACCGTGGGTCCGACCTGTAGCGCTGCTTTTTGTGCATCGAACGAGCAAAATCGATTTCTGTTAGGTTCCCTAAACTTTAGAGTCTTGGCTATGCTTTCAAACAGCGAATAAAGACTCGTGGAATCGAAGATGTCTCGATAGGAATGGAAAATTAAACGCACTTGAAATTTTTTCTTTATTAGGGCGCAAAACTTTTCTTTAAATTGAGCGAGGAGTATTTTATAGCTTAATATAATATTTCCCGGCGCGATATAACCTCGATTGGCCCTAAATAATCTTGAATCATGGATCGTTGAACCCTTTCTCCTTCGAGCAGAAAGTTTCCCGTGATTTACGTCTTTTGCAGCAGTGTTAAGATAGCACGACTACTACGTCTTAACACTCGAGACGATAAAACCTACCAAGCAGTCCAAGTATTACAATTCCAATATCTTGATAGCTGAATATGTCGGGAGTTACGACTTTTATGATAAATGTATCTTAATGTTGTTCTCGGGATTCATTACTTCATCGAATTTTACCGTGAGGAGCTCGTCATTTTATTTAAAGAAACAGTTTGTCGCGAAAATTGACGACCAAAACGCGCCTACGTTTCATTCGAATTAAGTAAAGATCCCACGAGTTTTTCTTTGCGAATACCCCAACAGTT